GATGCACTGGAGAAGGAGAAACAAGTCCTGATGCCCGACTGCATGCAGGAGATTGCATATATATAATATATATATATATAGCTGTAGCTTCGGGCTGGTTCATGCCCAACAAATTGAACAATGCGTTTATTTTGAGGCAGGGCCGCATCAAGATATTGGAATGCGCTGAGCAGGAGAAGGACAATCAAGAGCTGAGACTCGGTGTGGGTGTTCAACTTCTTGTTTCTATGCTGTTTTCGTTGGTTTTCAGTTTGTTTTGCGATTGGTGACTGACAGGGGTTCAAGCTTCCTCTTTAGTGATCGGGGCAATGGTGGGCTTACTTTCCTTGTTCTGAAGTGTTTGCATCTCGAGGTGCATCCTTGAAGAAAAGCAGCTGGAATTTTCCTTGGAGGAGGCCACATGGCGAATGGAAATCAGCAGCAGCCCAGCAGCATGAGTTTTAGATTGTCTTGGCAGCGTGGAACTTCCTTTCCCCTGATTCGGGTGTAGTTTTCGTGGCGCAAACTCAAGGCAGTCAAGAAGCGGCAAACCAGGAGGTGGGAAGCTATTGATGATAAATGACCACTCACGCTTTAGACATGTGGAAGACATTTCTCCCATCAAATCTGAGACGCGATGGAAGCTGGAAGGAAACACTATCGAAAAGGGATCCCATTGACGTCCAGAGTTCCACAAGAAGCCGTAAAGAGCCTAAAATTAGGTCGGAGGCCATTGCTATTAGGGGGGAGGCCGTAGAGGGGCCAAATTCGCACCGTGGCGCAGAGCAGGCAGTCGTTGCGAGGACATGGTACGTGGAGCTGCAGGCTGCACAGGAGGGTCAGTCGGTGAAAGAGTGGTCTCAGGGCCTCGGCAGTGGCCTCGGCTTAGGCCACAGTCATTCCACCGGACAAGAACTCACCTGAGCTGTGTGCATTTGATGTATCCTTCCAAACGTTTGAGAAGATAGCGCGACTTGCGGACTCGTGTCCAGCCACGGCCGTCTTGGCAGTGAACGTTTGAGAAGATATCCTTCAAAAAGGACAGTTGAAAAGTCAAAGGAAATATTTAAACAAAAAGAAAATGCAAAAAAACAAATGTACGGACTGAAGGACCAAGGCCCCTTTGAAGGAAATCTTGTTAGGGCGTCCCTTGCCTCTTTGTCCTCTTTCTAGCCACGTGTCCTGCAGGAGTCACTCCGCCTGTTGCACAGGAGGATCACCGACGCATCACAGACGAGGAGCACTGTGAATTAGAAGAAGTAGGCAGCATGCTTGACAGACGTAGCAGAGATTCTGCACTTGTCCAGAGCAGGGCAGAAGCTCTTCAGTCTGAGGATTGGGGTTGGCTGCCGTGGGCTTTGCCGAGTCTTGAGTAAAGATGAGGTGAACTAGAGACAGACAGAGAGACAGACAGACAGAGACAGACAGAGACAGACAGAGACAGACAGAGACAGA